CCCCCCCATTATCTCTGCATATTGCTCCCTTCTCCACACATGTACACTCCCTCACTTTCCCCCCTGCATGGCCAGTCCCCACCAACACCACCGCATCACTCCTGCACATGCCCTATTTGTCAAGTACAATACAGGTACAATGGATATCATGCAAACCGTTAGATTAAGAATATACTAAACATTAATAACACATTTACATTACATGCTACACGTGATCAGGTTAAAAAAAATCTTTTTCAGATTACTGTTAGCCTGAGGAGGCAGCAAGCCACACAATCTGTAGGCACAGACGATCACTCCATTGCTTTCTCCACCTCCCACTTCTCTTCCAGTAGAGCTGGGGCAAATAGTGCAGAGATTTTACATGATTTAAAGCTGCATGTGATTAAACACGTTTATCCAATTACATAAAAGAAGTCAAGATTGCTGACGTTGTGATCTGATACAATGTGCTATTTGACCCAAGCTTTTTAACTCTCTACTTTTCTGTTTTTCAATTGAACATTTTATGTTTAACACCCGCCATCATCCAACTTGGGCCTATAAACTTTCAAACTATGAGCCTCCTTCCTGAAATGTAAAAGTAAAAATACCAAAATGTATCCTGGTAGGTGTGCTTAGCATTCTATAATGCTTTTTATGCATGGTTGAGCATCTTTGTCTTCTCTGATAAATATTACTAGATCCAAATTTATTTAGCATAAGTCTCAATTTGCTTTCCAGGCGAATCTAAATCTTAACTAGGACCTTCCATCCAGTCCACCTAATAGCTATCCTTTTAGTGTCGCTGCTTTTAACCCTTGATCTATTCTCTCCTGAAGAGAGACAGCATGGCTTTTCAGGCAGGACTGCTTGCTTTATTTTTTTTCCCTTTACAGACACAGCCAACTAAGTATGGCAGTGATTCCTTTTCTTTTTTTACATTACATTGTTTTGACTTTTATTTTTCTATTTTCGGTCACTTTTTCTCTTTATGTGCTCCAGCTCATAACCTATTGATTTTTCTTTCTCTATCATCTCTTTCCCTTAAGCTTTCCCTTTCAGTTCTTATTATATCTGTTTTCTGGCAGAAGAAATATTTCGCTTCACCTCATATTTCCTACACACGCCTGGATTATGTTCACCTGAAAAATCATTACGCGTCTTAGCACCAGAACAACGCTTCCATGGTGGGCTTTTTTTTTGTTTTTGTTGTTGTTGTTTTTTTTTTTCCTCTTTTTCCACAGAACGCTGCTCTCTCTCACCTATTAACCCTTCGAGTCTATACCCATTTGTTCACACATTTGACATCAGAAAATGTCAGCGTAGCCTCATTGTCTACTATTTTTCTTAATGCCTCCGATAACAGCCACATTAAAGCAACTCACAAACTCATTTTAATGTCGCCAACAGAGGATGCTTTCTGTGTACAGCTGCACAGCTGCTTGTCCTGTGAGGCATATTGTGCCTGCATTGCATGCTGCATGGGGGTGGAATGCGCAAGAAGGATTTGGGGGGAAAGGCGGATTAAAGGAGAGGCATATTTTTGGAATGTGGGGACGGGGGAGATGCATGGTGCGCTGCATGTCTTGGATGTCGCCGGGTTGTTGTCTTTTGTCACCAAACATGCATGAACGTCACTCTGTTAGTTGATGTAAGTCGTATTATTCGTGTGTGTTTGTTACTAACCAACAAGACCCGCAAAGGATAAAACCAATAAACAAAAACCACAGTGTTCCTCTTTCTTAGACCAGTCCCTCGGTTGGCTTATTGGTTTATCATCTGGTCTCTGTTGTTTTCACTGTGAACCTCCAAAGCACTAGGGGGAGCTCTGGATAATAGTAACTGCTGCTCAGCCTGTTCCTGGACAGTTATGAAGCAAATAAGAATGTGATTCTGAAAAAGTCTCCACTAATCAATTTGTGACTTAGATGTTTAAAATTGAACAAGAATTTGGGCATTACTACGACTCTCTTGTCACTTCAGCACTCATAATCACATATGTGCCTAATTTGACACTTAAGTCTGAGCCACTATAGGCAGACAGACAGACAGAGTCAGGGCCTGCTGCAGATGCTATGCACAGCTCCTTCAACTTCCGAACCCACCCCCTCTTCCCTTCTACCCACTCTCCTTCCCTGCTACAAGCTCAGAGCCCTTCCCCCTTTTCACCTGGAGGTTCCACATACACCCCACCTTCTCCTCAATGTTCTTACTGCCTGACTGGCTTCCTCGCAGAGATTGCTCCGTATGGATCTGCCCGTGGCTGATGACAACACGGTCCACTTCAACTCCACTCTCATGGCCTTGATCCGCACAGCGCTGGACATAAAGATTGCCAAGGGTACGGACAAATTGACTTTCACTTGTCACATTTTCACATGCTTTCTTCTTCCTTCTCTCTTAACCCCAACATCCTCAAAGCAGAATTGTCTTTTCTGTGCTGAACCAGAAACTTCGAACTCTTCTTGATGCTCAATCCTCTATACAGCAACTGATGTGTTGTTATTTCCAAGGCTTTAGATTCCATATGTAGAACTTTTCTAGATTTAGCGTGAGGCTGAAGGTGAGACTGAATGTAGCTCACAAAGTTGATTGCTTGTGTTTCACTTCAGTTGTGAGCTTATATTAATTACATGACTAATAAAAGGAACCTTTTTTTTCTGTTTGTCTGTTTCCATGTTTGTATGTCTTTTCCCCCTTTTCCTTTCAATCTGAATGGCTATAAACAATGTGTGTTATTTTGTGTGTATGGATAAACTTTCTTAATGTGCATTTTTCTGTGTTTTGTGTTCATTTGTGTTCTCATACTTGGGCATGGATGTCCATACATGTGTGTGTGTATCTGCATGTGTGTGCATGCTTCTGTTTTTTTTAATGAATATGTCTAGGTGGTATCGACAAACACCAGATGGATGCAGAGCTAAGGAAAGAGATGATGGCAATCTGGCCCAACCTCTCCCAGAAGCATCTGGATTTGCTGGTGACACCACACAAGTGTAAGTGACCAGAGTTTGGATAAACCACAGCAGTGCCATTTTCTGCTACCACCTAATGCTCCACCATTGTTCCTCTCCATGCCCCCTGAGGTCTGCTTCTCCAAACCAGTCTTTTTCCAGTGCTGCACCCTCTGAATCAGCTTTCACATCTGTCTCACACATCAGTACTCAGATTGTGTGAAAATGATCATGAAGAAACAGAAGCACTGAAACAAGCTGCATGGTAGACACAAAACAGCTCCGCACACCCACGCAATAGTGCAGTATCTTGAAGTGGAGATCAATAAAACTGACTGAGACTGAACTACACAAGGACAACAGCTCTTGACTGAAAAAACCCTTTCTCCATCATCACTGAATATATCGAAAATGTCCAATGGGTGGCAGTGCAATAATACAGTCTCCTGCAATTCTAATGCATTACACTCCTCCCTTAATCCCCAATTATCAAAAATAAGGAAAAAAAACTTCATTAAATAAACTACAACACTGGTTCAAAGATTCAGTCTTTCAGGTGGTATTCGTACTTGTTAAAGGCAGTGCTCTGCTTGTTGTTTCTCTGTAGAAACTGGAATCTGTTAACTGCTACATACCCTCAGAAGTAACCTGAGCTTACTGGGATGAATTTTGGTTGATTGTTGCAGACCACTTCTTCTGGTTATCCATAAGAAGCTAAAAATTATGGAAATGTGAAATACCCACTTGAATCATGGGGAAGTCATGCTTGCCCATCATATTGCCACAGGGGCTGGCCGCTTCTATCACAGCAGCGGAGCCTCAGCTGAAAGTGTCATTTCCTGGCATGTGCTGCAGTTCTTTACCACCACCCCTTTCCAGATGGAGCCACCACAACTAGCTTCTTGCAAATGCTTTCATGTGGCAGATGGCCACATGTTCGCGATGTAGGCCATTCAGCGTATTTGCTCTTTGAACTGTAGGAGCTATGACCGTCACTTCCTAGAAGACCCATCTTTGAACCACACACAGCCCAGTTGGATGTCTATAAGAATGTCTCGAGTGCGTCATCGTGTACGTGATTTGGCCATCTGTTCTAAGACCTTCGTGAGTGAGACAAAAAAAGTTATATTCTTCTTCTTTACCCGTATCACTGCTTCCCATCTAAAGAAATGTATCCGCATTTTCATTTCCTGATGACTTTCAATAATACTCTGTCATGGTTAAATACTGTAAGTATGGATACCCAATGCTGCTTTTTCAATGCAGCCAGAGTGGGGATGGCTGGCTCTGTGCCCAGGAATTGCCAAGAGTGCTCTCTAATCATTAATGAGGGTAAACTTCCTCCTGTAATAATATTTATGAAACTTCTTTCCTTCGGAGAATGACAGAGTGTACTTTCTTATGCATTTGGGCGTATTTCCTCTCTGACTCACTCATGACGTAAATTCAGCTGACTTTTCCTCACGTCCCTCCATCAAATGAATAATGACAGTAACAGACCCTGATGATTTATTTCGGGCTAGCTGCAGCGACTTCCTGCTATGATTGTGAACTACTGCTGTGTTGCTTTTTGGCATTTTTAATGCTGCCTCACACTTAAAGGGCTTTCTTTGCATGCTACAATACAGTACATGGAAAAATTCTGCATGCGTTGGCCATAATAGGTCAGCAGCCCAAGAAAAAAAAGGTAGTTGTGAACTTTTGCTAGTTCAGGGTTACAAGACTGAAGCTACCATCTGTGTCCAACAGGTGGCGGTAAAGTATTCATTTGCAATCACAAAATTACAAAATGAATACTGCATTTTTTTTCCCTCCTTAAACTCACAAACTCAAGAGTCACCATTCCTCAACATTCACACTTCTACCCATTTCTGTGCCTGAGATCAGAGGGTGTCCTACTATAGATAAACCTTCTACAGATGTCTTTTCACTCCGTGGCAGGCAGCTTTATAGACTAGGGGCAAATCTCTCTTTTTACCATTAGTTATATTGAGGAAAAACACAGAGTCCTAAAGTATAAATCAGTAGTTGCTCTCATTCTGTGATGCTTTGATGTGCACAGATTGTATCTCTTTTTAAATGATTTTAATCATTTTACTGGAGACCATAGTTTGTTTAATATTACACACTAAACACGAGCCATATATCAGAAGGAGATTGTTCAGTTACAGCATTGTACTTGTGACACATAGAAGTGTTTTTTAGAGTTAACTGAAGTTTTTAATCAGCCTGGCAGTGAAAAGACTATTTTCTCGTATGTTCATGTATGCAAGTGCTTCTTGTGCGCTTGCCTCACACCTCTCTACCATTCCTCATGCTCAAAGACCAAAGAGCCTTATCCTGCAGGGTAACTTGTCATTCTCTCTGCAGCGACCGACCTGACAGTGGGGAAAATCTATGCCGCCATGATGATCATGGAGTACTACCGGCAGAGCAAGATCAAACGTTCCCAGGCTCTTCGTGATGAGCAGGTACTGCCTGTCTCCAGTGAAGTAACACTCTACCTGCATCCGATCCTTTAAAATTAAAGGCAGACTGACGTGCTGAAACCGAGGCCACAGGTCTGTAACTTCATCTATACAAGCCCGGACTGTGACAGCATTCGTTCAGATTAGGGAAGCGTGTCCATTCAATTACCTATAAAGGCAAAAGCAATAACTTCACAAAGGTAATGCTCAGAAACAATGCTGCCACCTTCTGGGCAAAGTTTGTTACACTAGCACTGAAATTCTTGAGGAAAAAAAAAACATTTTCCTCATACAGAATGTAGCAGATTATTTTTTTCACATTAAGCTAAAATGTTGTCACAATCCCAAATGTGCCCATGCCTGAACCTGATGGGAATCTTCACAATGGCTTCTTTAGCTGAGCTTGTGTCTTTCCTATATCAACTGCTTGTAACAATACACTACCTTCTAACTCCCTGTTACCCATGCTTGTCACCTTGGAAAGGTATAGACCTCCCTCACAAGATGATATGTTATCAATGCTGAAATTATGTGATTCCTAACATTATTATTCAGCCGTAATATAAAGGTCTGCTTGCCCTTAATATTGTCATTGCACGTGTTATGTATTATGAGATACTTCTCATGATGTTCTCGAAACATCAGCAAGCCACTGCCTTCTTTATTATTTCTGATCCTCATTATTTTCTCCTGCCTTCAGTCCTTTGCAATGTTCCACATCCACACACAGACGCATTTCTCACACAATTGTTTTTATAGATACTTTTTATCACACAGTCTGCGGTGTGACTTTACTAGAGCCTCAGATCTCAGCTACCATATTATCTAGAAATGCAAAGAGAGATCTATGCAGTGTTTCACTATAGAAAACGCAGCTAGGCCAGACCGGATCACACAAGTTTTAGATGTGCTTTACTTGTTGGGGTTCACATTGTGTTTATTCCTTGCAAACTAATTGGGATGCTTGCTACAGTATTTTCACATAAGTAAACTGAAAAACAAAAGAAAAATAATAAAATAATTTAACAACTAAATAAAATTTTAGATTTAAGTGGTCATTAGTGGACATTAGGCAGTTGTAACAAATGTAGCAATTCTTATTTGACACGTGCCATCGTGTACTTTACCTGCCTGCTACCGGCTTCTTGCTGTGTTTCTTTGCTACAATGTCCTCTATCATTTTAGAATAGGATCTTTTTTTTTTAATTGTCCTGCAAATGTTTTTTTCTTCTCTTTTTACATACCCACCCCCACCCATTAAATTTTAGCCTGTTAATGCATCAGATGACAACCGTAATGTGATAGTTTGCTGTATGAAGCTCTGGATGCAGTGGTTGAATCCCGCTTCCTCACTGATCGTCATTTTGCTTTGATCCCAGAATGACATCTGAGTCTGCTCATCTCTCTCCTTCTGCTAGCTGCTGGGCATTCGTTGCTCTTGCATTCATCCCTCTTCCATTCTCCCGTTTGCCCGGTCTCGCTTCAACCGGCAGCCCCCTCTCTCTATCCCCTCTCTTCATGCTCTGCCCTTGTTCCCCCTCCCCATTTCCCTGTCAGTCTGCCTGATAGCTGGCGACGGCCATGTTGTATATCTCACACAGAATCGAACGCCATTACTATTTCAGCGCGTGGAGCCACCTACCCCCTCCCAGGATGGGGGTCCGGGACTTAACAATGCCCTGCCTCCTCCTGAGATGACAGACACCACCAACAGCCTGTGAGTTGGACACTTCTGGATTATTTTCACTTTACAGGAACAGGTTTGCTGAAGAAAGACATACCCTTGACTTGTTAATATGTGTTTGTGTGTGTGTCACAGGCCGGTGGAGGGAGGTGTCCCGGAAAGCCAGTCGTGGGTGACGGCTCGCGCTCAGGAAATGTCTCAGAAGGTTGGCAGCTGGAGCCCTGAGGGACACCCTGTGGATGGCCTGGGAAGCATGACCAACTCTCAGGTAAAAGCTCACACACACACACACACACACACACACACACACACTGGAAATGGCACAATAAGCTGGCCAAAGACCACACAGATAATAGTTTGTGCCGTGTTACTTGATGTAGCTCCCAATTGCAACTGAGGACAATTACGTGGTAAAATCTTCACTGTTCAAGTTTGTAATTCCGTATCCAGGCTCAGCAGTGACCTGCTCATTTGTAACACCTGATTTTTATAGAGGATTAGATCAAATCAGGGCAGCTGATAAGTTTATTTAGTTTTTTCCCAGTATGTTCATTGTTAGGAATACTCTCCCATTCTTATGGTGTCGTAAGTTCAGAGCTCAGACTGCATCACCGTTACTGCACTGTTGCCTTTATCATTTTACTGAAGTTGTTACACTTATTTCCTGCAGTTCCTCTTTTTTGGATTCTTCAGATATCACTAACATTTAACATTTCTTTGATTAGCTCCATCTCTCAAACCTGTCTCTACACACAAGTCTTTTTATTTTATTTTATTTCTTTAAAATCTCACTGAATTGTTCAGTGGCTATATATCTCTGCATCTCATTTGACTCAGACTGGTTCATGTCTCTGTTTTCATGCCGTTAAACATGTCTGCTTGTAGACCTCGTGCGGGGGGGGGTCTGGCAGGTGCATGCATCTGTCAGCCCTCTTATTGTAGCCACCTGTCCACAATCAGCAGAGCTCTAAAGGAACGACTAAACTCAGCAGCCAGGGAGACAACCTGATATTCTTTGATTATCAGTTCAGATTTAACTAAAATGCGATTTACTCCAAACAAAATCGAATTTTGCAAATTTGCTACATAAAATTTGCATGTTTCTGATTAAAAAAAAAAACCCCAACATACTAGATTTTTGATAACTGCAGTGCAGCTGACCCACCAGTGCAGTTTCAGTTTTACATAACCTCATTTAGTGCCCACAATGTACCAGGACCTGCACCTGGCTAACATTATCATCTGATCAGATTTCTTTTTTTCTTTCTTTTTTTCCCCTCATGCCTCTTTTTGGCTGCACGTGGTTTTTTCCTCCCAGAATCCACTCCTGCCGTGACTCACAACCTCCTCCATCTGGCATTGAGTGCCACTAAACAAAAAGGGAAACAACAAATCACCTTCTGCTCGCATTTGTTGCAACTCAAGTGACAGCAGCATATGCAAACACAAAATTGGATTTTGGTTGGAGTATTTTCTAAAGACCAAAACACACAATTTCCTTTTTTCTGTTTGATTTAAAAATGAAAACAACAATTAAAGACCAAATTATCCAACTGACATGATTTTCCTCTGGGACCTTCAGCTTTCTGCTCTCTTTGGATAACCTTTCCACCTTACCCCCCTCTCCTCCTCCCTATTAGTTTTCATGGCAGCCAATCACACCACCTCCTGCTCTCCTGCTCTGTTTACAGACGGTAGAGATGAGAGAGATGGGGCAGGATGGTTACTCGGATACTGAGCACTTTCCACCAATGGAAGGCCACGGCAGGGCCGCTTCCATGCCCCGCCTCCCAGGCGACAACCAAGTGAGCAGCATTCTCACCTTTCCACTGTCCGTTGTCCTCATTGTGTCCGCTCCTTATCTCCTTTTGTTTGGAACAATGACATTCACAAAGGTCTGACTCGTTGCTTATGGATTTCTTGCTGCGGCCTCTTGAATCCAGAGTGGAGAACGTTTGGGACGAGGTTGCGAACGACAAACTTTTACAATCACTGGTTACATTTTGCGCTGGGTGACGTGGTTGCAACCATGATGTCCGCTAGCATATCATGACAGTATTTCAGGGTAAAACATGTAAATGTTTTGCTGACATGTTGACCTCCAGGCTTGGGTTCACAAGGACCACAGCAAGGCAAAGTCAGACCTTTCATTCCTTTATTTTTCTTTTCTCCCGACTGTTTTGCTTTTCTCTTCCCCTTATCTCTCTTTCACCTGCATGGAGGTGTTTTCGGAAATGCGGTTGCCTTGTTTTCCATCCCACACCCTCATCCATGTTAAACTGTTTCATATCTCGGTGAGTGCTCTGGTTGTCATTCACACACGACACATTTATAAACCACACACAGACATGCGCAGTTCTCTACCCCCACACCCACCCCACATTATTTCTTCTTCTTTTGTCAGGACCGTGATTTATTTATCTTTTTTTTTTCTCGTTTTGCTAAACTGTCTCTTCCTTCCTAGCAGAGGTTTTCCAAGTGCCGAACCGGGCTTCCCCCCCTTTATTAGCAGGACTGGTTCTAGTATGATGTTGAGTGTTACAGATGTGTGCGTGTTTGTGTGTTCTGGAGCTTGTTTTTATATGTGTTTTTCGCTGATTATCATCATTGATGTTGTGACCGTGTTTCTGTTGATTGAGCACTTTCATGGTGATCTTGTCTGTATAACACTCTCGTGGCACCAATCACCCCCAGTATTTGTGGTAAGTGTATCTCTTCCACCCTCGCTGCTGCTTCGGTGTCTAATCGGACCTTCTTTCTCTGTCCCTCCTTTTCTCTTTCTCTCTCTTTCATCTCTCCACTCTGGCACCCCATCCTCTTTTTGGGTTGAACCTCAATCTAACGCTTTTAAACTTGTACTCCTCTTCACCCTTCCTCTTTGATCACTGCATATCACACCATCCCTGTCTCCCTTCCTTCTCTCCCTCTCCCCATCACTTCTCCTCCTTGTTTTGTGTTTGCGCCACATCCATACATTTGGTGTATTTGTGGCATTGTTTGTGTGTGTGTGTGTGTGTGTGTCTTCTCTGTGCTCATACAGCAGCGGAGGAAAGGGAAGCAACGTGGCAGTAACCTCAGTGTATGTACCCTGTCTTCTCTGTCTTCTCCCTCCTCCCCTTTCTCTTTATTCAAGTCCCCTTCTCAAACATGTCTTTGTGTTGTGTGTTTTTTTCTGTATGTGTGTTTTTAAGCAGGGGTTTTCTTAAGATGTATTAAAGCAACCATTTTTAGCATGAACTCATATGCAAGTCCAGTTTCCAAACCAATCCTACTGACCCTTAACTACTTCACTCGTGCACTTAATGCAGAAAGTTTGGATTCGGGCTGAACTCTGCTTGTCCCTTCTCATCATTTACGGTCATATGACTGTCTCCGGGTCTTCTGTATCTCTGTCTCTCTTTACTCAGCTGCTGCTCCTGGTGCTTCGTTGTCTCATGTCCTCATGCCTGTGTGCTTATCTTTGTGTTGTTGCTGTTAACAGTCTCCATTATGAGTCTCCATTCACGACTGCCTACCTGCATGCTAGAACTTAGATCTTTTTGTTTGAGTGGGTGTATGCTTGCGTGAATGTATGTGGTGCGTGGTTAGAGTGTCAGAAACAAGGAGGGATATGGACATACGTGCATATGAATGGATATGTTTATAGGATTCTCAGTGCTACTTCTGTGAGGCCAGTTAATCTGCCAACCCATCATCTGTAATTTAATCTGTGACAATTCACAATGACTACAAAACTTGCTCAGCTCAGCTGCAAAAAGGATTTAGCACTGAAGTAACCTGATATGATTTTCATGCCCAGGTCATCAACTTGTGGCACCATAGGCGCTGTCCTGCTGTCCTGTCCTGCCTCAGGTCACGAGGCCTCGGCACTGCAGAGGAATGTCGTTAGCAGACTCAGGACATCCCCTATGTACATGCATGGTTGCAGGGAAGCACGCTGAGACAGAGCAGAAACAGAAGAGTTTTGTGCAGCCTGGAATGCGCCATGTTCGAGGGCATTAATGGGTGGTGAAAATGGAGAAGTGCTGAATTGACCCTTCTGTCCCCTTTTTTTCTTTAACATTACAAGTTACAGAAGCATGGAAGGCATGGTCGCTTGCCATCATCTCTTTCCCTGTGCTTCCTTTTGAATTTTTTTTTTTAATCTTCTGTATCAGGGGTCGGCATCTGAGCCCTGCACCAGGTTTGAATGTTAATACAACACTGCACTGGCCTTGCTTTAGCCATGCTTAGCTACTGAAATACATGGATGGATTGTTTACAAGCACTAAACTTGGCTAATGGGTTTTTTTGCCGACCCCTGCCTTATAAATTGTATGCAATGTCTCTGTTTTTGAAGTAGCATGATTGGGGGTCTATGATTTGGTATAGGTTAAAGGAAGAAGATGCGTTGAGGGCTTTCATAGAAACAGACCCCAGTTAAACCCATATATACACCCCTATACATATCTGTTATCCCATTGTATAAATGAAACACCAACCTGACATTCAAAGGAAACACCTCTCCTTGCATTTCTCTCTCTCCCTCCATCCCTCGGTGGTTTCTTTCTCTTCCTCTCTTAGACCATCAATGACAGCAGTCCAATGAAACGCTCCGCCTCCTCCCTGGGCCACAGCAGGTCTGGGCGTGGTCACAGAGACAAAGGAGGGGCAGACGACTACAACATGGAGCATGCAATCCCAGAAGAGGGAAGAAGTTCCAGACACGGACACCGGCGAAAAGACCGGAGCCATCGGGCATCTGAGAGGTCCCTCTGTCGCTACACTGAGGCTGACACTGGTGGGTGAAACCACAAACACACACACATTTTTTGCATAATTGATCATTTGACAGGTACTGTAGAAGATATTTCCACTATCTAGAACTCATTTTCTCCAAACGTCTCACCTTCTGCAATAAATGAATCCAATTTTTGTACAACTGAACAAAAACCACATAAAAGTCTTTTTGTTGTTGTTGTTGTTGCTGTTTAGCCATTATTTCCAAGGGCTGCTAGAATGTGTCACTGGAGTGCAATAATAACGAACCCCTCTAAACACTCTGTCATCAGGCCTGGGCACAGACCTAAGCACAACCACTCAGTCTGGCGACCTCACGTCAAAAGACAAGGATCGAGACAGGGATCGCGGCCGTTCCAAAGACCGTAAGCACCACCACCATCATCACCATCACCACGGCTCTGTGGACAAGGAGCGCTATGTAGCAGAACGAGGGGGCGAGTACGTCCACAGGCACTCTCGCGACCGTGACCGGGAGCGAGAAAGGGACCGGCGCTGGTCGCGATCTCCCAGCGAGGGTCGCGATTGCGTGACACACAGACAGGTGGGCTCCTGGGGTATTAAGTGTACTTGATATCTAGGCTGGAAAAACACACCTGTTGGTTTTTGATAAGAAAAATAATTAAATAAATATTGGTCAAAACACAAATGGTCTAATATTGGGCCTCTAATTTGACGGTAGTTAACTGGTGGACTATTAGCTAGAAAAACCCCAATAACCTTTTCTGGCTGTAACCAAACACAGTGCTGTAGTCTACATAAGGTGTAACTTTTTGATGTAGTTATGTTAGAAATGTTCCTCTGATTGGAAACTGTATAAAAAAGATAGATGTAGCGTGACATCACCTGTTGGTTTGTGGACTACTGTTTTGAAGGCTTGTTTCAGTTTCTTGAATCACCGTATGGTAGTGGCTTCACAATTACAGGCTAGCCGTACTTTAAAAAATACACAAGATATAAAATATAAACAATAATCATATATTAAAATTAAAAATCATTCTATAAAAAATAAGAATTAAATATAGCAATTAAGCCATAAACTCATTAGCAAAAAGTATTAAGTAATATGTGACAAACAGAATCATTTTCTTGTTGAAAGCCAGAAGGGTTGCCCCCTGCTGGCCAATAGAGAGAATGCAAGTTTAATGCACCAGTCTCAGAACCTAGGTCCAACTTTTAATAAGGACTTCTGCCCTCAGATTAGAGGCCATTGTTTAATTGTTGGCATTATGTTAATGACAGCAGATAGCATGTGTATCTTTATGTATATTTGTATATACATTTATATTTCACTATATTCACATAAACATGCATTATTGTTGGTATAATAATGCAGAAATGAGTAAAAAGTGTTTGCTACCAAACCACCAACAACCAAACAAATATGCATAAAGAATGTATATTTGAGTACCTTATTGCTGTTCCCAGTTGCCCTGTCTAAATGTTCTGTCATGCCCTCCCCACTATGTTTCCTTATGACATTCTTTTCCAAGCTTATTGCCCACTATACTTTAGACCTAAATTTTCTTTGCTCATGAATTTTTGGTAATGCATATTATTTAGCTAAACACGCTGATTTTGTAATATATTTTAATAATTACTGCAGGAACAACAGCTTTCTTTAAAGGGGAGGAAGTGGATTTTCTTATTTGAATTTGTGTTATATATATATGCTACACAGCTTGCTCAAAATAATGCAAAACCAGACACATTTTATGTATGTTCAGTTACCATATTTACCCTGTACTGCATTTGTTATCCTGGAAATCAACCCTTTATCCTTCTTTTCTCCTGTCGTCTTTTGTTTTCTTTCCTCTGCGTAACATGTTGCTTTTTTATGTATGGTCCTGTTTGAAATCTCATCTTTTTTATCCACATCATCTGCTCTGCTCCTTTTTAATGCCTTTCATTTCTGCCACTCTTTTATGGATGGTGCTTTTATTCTTATTGTTGCTGTGGATCTTGCTCTGGTCCTTTTCTTGCTTTTCTATCTGGACTCTCTGTCTTGCGTTCTTTTCCTTCTCTCTCTGTTGGCTTCACGCTAAATCTTTACCATCCTCTACTTTATTCTACATGTTTTGTCGTTGAATTTGTGGTTCGTTCTTTTTATTTGCTTTATTTCACTTTTTGTGTAGGGCAGTAGTTCAGTCAGCGGAAGCCCTGTCCCCTCAACCTCGGGGACCAGTACACCGCGGCGGGGCCGTCGGCAGTTGCCTCAGACCCCGGCAACACCCCGGCCCCATGTTACTTACTCCCCTGTAGTCCGTAAGGCTATGCCCACCCCTCCTGGGGTGGCACAAGGCAGACCCTCAGCCCCAGCTCCTGCCCCTCGCCGCTTTTCTCCAGAGCCTTCCCAAGGCCAGGGTCCTCCCCCTGCTGGCCTTCAGCTGGGCCACCATGGCACACCACGTCATCAGCCCCCACTGCGCTGGGGAGACACAGGTGGAGGAGGGGGCTCCATAGAAGGGGATGGATGTTTCTACAACCAGGACTACCAGGACTACGAGCCCCATCATGAACCACCTGCCTACGAGCCAAACCCCGTGCAGGGGGGCAACCCGCACCCTCATGCCAACCACCCACTGCCACCTCCCTCACAACCACAGCAGCATAACCCCCATCCCCTACCTCCCCCACAGCCACACCCAGTCAACAACCCCCATCCTCAGCCCAGCCGAACCTCGCCTAGAACTGTTCATCACGCGCCTCCGCCAACAACGGCTCTGACAGGGCCTGTGCAGGGCCAAGTTCAGTCTGCCGCCCAGCGCCGGCTACCCAACGGCTACCGTTCTTCATCACCTTCCACACATGTCCACGGACCCCCACACACTGGTCCCCACAAGGTCCCTCCTCCGGCTGGGCATCCAAGGGGTCCTCGCAAAGGCTTGCATGAACCCTACAGTGAAACGGAGGATGACGATTGGTGCTAGCCTCTGGGGAAGGGGGTGGGACTTAACAAGGAAAAAAAAATTGAAATACCGAAAGAAGATGAGCCAGAGCACTGACTGCCAAGGGAAAAAAATATAAACGTTTCTTTCTTGTCTGTTCGATTTGTTTTTCCCTCTCCTCCACTGCTGTCTAAGTGACGGTGAGCTACATGAAACAACCGGTGTCATGGGATGGAACAAGAATGCAGAGACAGAATCTGGAAATCCAAAAGCGATACGTGGAGGTAACGAAACACCTCCGCGTTCTGCTCGCGTCTTGTCGATCATTTCTTTTGATGCCAAATGAGACCAAACTGGAGGAGCGTCAGACACTAGTCTTTGTGTCTTAAATTATGCCTCTGGCCATGAGCTATAGCCACTTACAAGATGTCAAGAGTTGCGACTCGACAAAAGACACTTTACAGTCAGAGACAAAAATGAGCGACCTCTTTTTTTGTTGTTGTTGTCGTTTGTTTGTTTTCTTTGCTTCTCTGAGCTAACTTCTCTTAAGTTAGCTGCAAAAAGATTTCAGACCAACCCTCCCAGCCACCAGTTGAATATTGATGAGTTTTATCATCTGTGTTTTTAAATACAAATAAACCTGACACAGAGCCCTCCACCTGTAAGAGGTGAGGGAGGCTAAGTGGGTGGGAGAGTTGGGGAGTGTTGCACGGGGGTCGACGAGTCCCTCCGTGGACATCTGGAGGAGAGGATGGGTGCATCTGGAGAGATTGCACTCCTCCCAGAAACAATTTAACCAACCTCAACCTATGACCTATGAGAGGGAAAAAAATAGTGGAGGATGGGTTTCAGAAACAGAGAAACAAACTGTTTTCTGCAGTATTTCTTCTACTCCTGGAGCTGCTTCTTCTTCCTCCTTCTCTTCTACTTCTTCAAAACATTGAAGCTTGAATCTTCTGTTGCACCCCCACACAGCTTCGTTTTTTGTAGACTTGCAGAGTTGTACACTCTATGGAATCCTGCATGAATGATACAAAAGAATACTAATAATAGCAACACTGAGAATCTACTGTTTGCAGAGGGAAAATGTTCTTCAGTCCTGTTTTTTTGTTATGGTCTGCAGGGTTTCTCTCTCTTTTTTTTATTTATGATTAAAAGTGCTTTCTGTTTTTCTCTCTCTCTCCTCTGAATGATATTCCTCTCTCTGTACCTTCACATATGCTAAAAACACCAGTGGCCCGAAAGTTACATGGAGATTGGATATTTACTGTATGTATATCTAGAGGGAACAAAATGATAACTCTTCTGCTTGCTCGTCTACTGTCTATTCCGTGCCAAATGCCTGCCATTGATACAGCTGGAATTGTACTTATTTTTGTGGAAGTTACCTTTTTTTGTAATTAAGGCTAAAAAAATGGTTTAATGGGACGCAGGGTATAAACATGGATATGGTGAATTATGTCTGACAAATCAGTAACATCTCAAAAGTCTTCCAGGGTGTGGGGTTAACACAGAGGCAGCAGAAAGAGACCAATAGAAATGTGCAGAAAGGAGAGAAACTCTTCATCTTTGTTTTCTTTGTTGCTGAACGTATTAAGGGATAAACTTATACCATCGTTTGTAAAGATCATGATGAGCGTGAGAATGAGGCGAGTTCTCCATATTTGGTCTTATATTTTCTTCTGTGTGCTTGTTTTTATTTTGATCTTTGAAGATTTGAAAATAATCCTTTTTCCAACCCTTGGGTGGCGCTGGAACACACCACTACACTGTGGGAGAATGAGTTATCAGGAGGACAGAGCTGTCCTCTTACTCTGAGTCTTCTTCAAAGTTAATAACTATTTGAAATTTGTACATCAAAATGCATTGAATTGCAGGTTTTACAATCCACTCGCCATCGCCTTTGACCTACAGATGGCGCTGTGTGACAAATAGTGTCCCGGTCTATTCACTATACTTATACAGTGAGTGCACCAAAAATGCAGTTTAGCTCATTCTCTCGCTAGTAGACCGCCTTATCTGTGTAAAAATCAGGTGTGTGAGTCGTATTGTAGCAGACGGGCTGGAGAAAGGATGCCTGGGCCTCGCTGTAGTCCTAAAAATCACCTGCGTTCTGTGCGTATCACTCTTGTATAAGTTTCATTTCTCTCTGTGTGCCTCAAACTAACACTTTTCACTAACGCACACCACCGTCAGACCCAACATTACTGTTATTTTTTACTTTAAGTTCCTTTTTTTTCTCTCATTCTTTTACTTGACCCACATCTTACCTGGAGGCCTATCACATGTTGACCAGAGAATGCATTGAAAAAAAAAATAGAAAACACTGCCTATTAGTGTCTTTCCAACCTCAGTGGAATGTCACAAAAAATATTTCTCACATCACTACATGTAAAGTTAGAAAGCACACTAAGGTATGTAGCTCCTGGTTGTGGTGTGTGTCAGTGGGTTTTTGCGTGTATGTATGCACACGGGTGGGTGTGTTTCAAATAAAATTATGTTTTGTTTTTCTGAATGCTTTTTTAAAAAATTCTCCAGAACTCTTCTGAAATCTTAAGACATTCAAATCAAATCATTGTAACGACCTTCAGCTCTGTGGTTGTGCGTGTGCGTGCGTGTGTGATGTCAGTAAAGCCCCTCCCACCTGCCCCCTCCACTGAATGGAACGTGCAAAGCCCCAAAATGTTCACCTTCCATCTTTGTGTATATGCTGCAGTAAAATCCACTAACACGCTGATTAACCACACAAAGTCTTCAAAAAGCAATGTAAAGTCGCTACTGGGGGAAAAAAATACATAAATTTAAAAAAAAAATGTTTTTTTTCTTTTTGTTCGTTTTTCAAGTACAAAAGATTTTAAAAAAGGAAAAAATATCTAGTTCCAGAAATGCATGTGCTATGTGCATGCCACACCGTGGGTTAAAAAGTCATCTTCAGGACATAAAAGAAAAAGCAGATTAATTAATTCAGAGGAATTTAAAAAAATAAAATAAAAAAGTGATATATAAATAGATAGATGTTTTTAAAAAAGCAATGTTTCCTTTTTTTCCTTCTATTTTTGAAAACAAAAAATGTTTTAAAAACTTAAAAAAAAATCTAAAGAGTAAAAACACAAAAAAGAGACTTTGGTGAGAGTCAAAGTCCTGTTTGTTTTTCTTCTGTTACATGGGGTTGAGGCACAGCACAACCATGTTCAGGACACCATGAAAAAAAAAGAACTGTTTTTAATTTAACAGAAAAAATAAAAATATAAAGAAAGAAAAGAAAGTACAGTTCAGACGATGGTGTATTCTTCCTTATACTTTTGTGTTGGGGGAGGGTCAAGGGATGGAGGAGCTCGCCAAAACTGTTGATGTACTTGTTAAAAACTGGCTGATGGTCCTTTGATCTCTCACTCACTCTCTATTTTCTCTCTCTCGCTCTCTCTCCCTCTATCTCTCTCTCTTTCTCTACCCTGTCTCTCTCACGCTCTTACCTGTCACACTCTCAGCCAGTCTCACCGCTATTTCTACCAGTGCATTTTGTAATTCCAAACAGAAACTCTTCCTAAAGAATAAAATCCAGAGAGAATGCATACTGCTTTGTGTCATTTCTTTTTTGTGCGCCAAGTCTTCTTCAGCTTTGAATTTGCATGTGTGTGTGTGTGCGTGTGTGTGTGTGTGTGTGTGTGCGTGTGTGTGTGCACGTGTGTGTGTGCGCGTGTGTGTGTGTGTGTGCCCTAGGAAAGTGCATAGGTTTCTCAGTCCATTTCCTCTACCTGTCAGTCAGTCAAGAAAAATAAACGCTTGTAAGCATTACTCACAGAAAGTGAAAGCCACGCATGAACTTTAAAACTGTACTCATATTTCTTGGCCACAATACCTTTGTGTAGTATTATCACAAAAAAACAGCTAACAACTGGTTTATTTTTTATTACAAAAAGGATTTGCAGTCATGGTGAAAGTAAGCACATGTTTTTTATATATATATATATATATACCCCTACTAATATATATATATACATTATTAGGGGTGCAACGATACACAAAATTCACGGTTCAGTTCGGTTCGATACTTTGGTATCATGGTTCGATATTTTTTCGATACAAAAAAA